TAGTATCATAGAGCTTTTTGCGTTTACATTATTATGAGTTACTTAAGGAATAGAAATACTTAAGGAATAGCTTTTATGTGTCAAAAAGTTTTTAGTTTCAGAGCTTTTCTGTGTTTACATTTTAATTGTAAACAGCTGACATCAATTTTGTATTGTTAAAAGTATATAAATCAACATGGAAGAGAACGCAGAAAATTTCAATAATTTAATATATAATATGTGTAATGTTGTGCATAATATAAAAGCGGCTGTTGCTGCATATATAAAAGAACAGACAAAAATTTATAAAAAAATACAAATGATCCAAAAACAACAATTAACGTTGCTTTCGTCAATGATAACAAGAAAAAAAAGGAAGTGCTGGACTTTGGTAAGTACGGGCAGTAAATTATTAAATAAAGAATAAAATTTAAATGAGTTGCTATTTTAGAAAAGAACGAAGAAGTTTTGGGAAGAAGATTGCCAAAAAAATGGTCCTGAGTTCTTTGAAGAAAATTTTCGTATGAGCATAGAATCTTTCAATGAGCTTTGCAATCGTTTGAAAAATTTGGAGAAGCAAGACACCAGCTTTAGATGTGCAATTTGTTTAAGAAAAAGAATTGCAATTGCACTTTACTGTCTTGGCTCATCCGCTGAATTCAGAAGCATTGCAAATCTGTTTGGCGTTGGAAAGGCCACAGTTTGCAAATGTTTGAAAGAATTTTGTGCAGAAGTGTGGAAAACTCTTTTGCCTTTATATATGAATGCTTTGCCATTAAGCAGCGAAAAGGTAAAAGAGTGCATTAGCGGCTTCGAAGTCATGGGTTTTCCACAATGCGTGGAAAACCCTTCGTTATATGAAGAATAAATTCCTTTTTGGAAAAAATATGTGAGAAGTATGTTGATCATCCGTCTAAATAGTTAACATATTTAAAATAAAAATTTTGTTTTTTTCCATTGCAAAATATATGTATTAAGTGTTCTTAAACAAATTATTAAATCTTTTATTCTAATATCTAAAAGTATATAAATTAATATCTTCGCAACATTTGTTTATGAGATTTGTTGCAAATCTTTGAGTATCCCAAGTATATCTTTTAAAAATTTAGACATATTTTTATTTTATCGCAAAATCAGAAGTAATTGATTTTATTGAATAATATAAGAAAGTTGTTTTATTTTGCCATTTTAAAAATTTTATAGAATACTTATATCGGAAAATATATTACTATACTTAAATGTACATAAAAGTAATCGATTTTAATATGATTAAAATAACTTATAAAGATTTTATAATTACAAATTAAAAAATTAAAACTTATAACTAAGAAATTATTGTTCACTATTTCCTAAATAAAACCTTTGTCACATAGCCTCACTTAGCACGGTTAGAAGCTGATTCAAATCTCGCACTATAACGTAATATGGAAAAGAAAATCGTCCATACACGATTTAGTATTGACACTTTTATCTGTTAGTATTTCCATAGTTTGGACATCTAATATAGAATGCTGGTAAAAGAACATTTTATTTATTTTATGTAACAGAATTTAAAAAATTTCTCCGATATCACCTTGTATTCTCGATTATATATTATTATATAGACTACAAATATTCTTTGTAATCGTGCCAGTTTTGCGCTGGTTAGTGAGTCTTAGCCAGATTTTATCTTTACAGTTTGAGTCGTATACATTTAGTTAGCTCTAAAATCTCTCTCACTAAATCTCTGGTATTTTGTGCTATTCGATTTGATATTATTTGCCATGTTTCCTAATCTCCGTATTGTAGTATTGCCTACAAAAACAAATATTTTGTATGTATAAAAAAAAAATATTTAAAAAAATTCTTACCTCTTGTTTGTTTTGATTTTTTGATTGTTTGTTTATGTTTACATTTTGCTTCATATGTCAAATATGTCAAATTTCGATAATTTCCAATGTTGCATTCGTCATATTTGGTATAATTTTGGTCGAATTTTGCTTACTATATTCTATAGTAAATGAGAAAGCACGGAAGCTCTTTGTATGGCAAATGCAATTTACTCAGTAAATGAAGCCTACTAAGTAAGGCTAAGTACATAGTGGAAACGTACTATAAGTGGCTAAATGTATGCAGTGCAAAAATTCCCAAGAAAAGTCCCATTCGGTTTAGCATCAACATAGCCTAACTCGCACACGTTCTAAACATAAAACATATATTTTAAATTAACAATTAATAAATTTTTTTACCTTCTTTCGTCATTTTTTGGAAGTTCATACATTCCCCTAGATAACTTTCATCCGATAAGCAATTCCGCACCATCTTCAAATATTAATAGCTCAAATAATAATTGTAATTGATAAATGTAATTATCTTATCAAAGGAACTTATTCACTACCTTTCATAACTTAGTTTGATTTGACCGCGTTTTTCAGTTTTTGGCGCGCATTTCTCCTGTCAAAAAATCAAAACAAACTCCAATACTAAAAAAGTATTGAACCATTCGTGGAGATGAAACGTTCGGTCCAGGGTGGTGAAACTTTTCACTCGTGGTGGGTCGACTTAAAACATTAAAACAACATGCTTGTTCTGGTAGTAGTAAATTATTTTAAGAGTGTATTGGTTGATTTATTTTGTTTGTATTTAAGTTGCTGTTCTTGTACAAAAATTCTTTGCTGGAAAGTATTCACATAAAATATAAACAAATAAAAAGATAACAATAACAACAACTGTCACAATGAAAATGCGAGAGGGTAATGGTAACATTTGGGAGTCAACTTTAGCAAAATTCGTCCACAAAATTCATAATGTCAACATGATATAATACGGCATTTACACTGGGCGAAAATGGCTCATTTTGGTCAAAAATCGAAGATGAGAAGCTAATGGTTCATAATTGCATACAAAACTTAAAGCGCGAATGCGATCCATTTCATCACGTTCTGTATGAATGCGTCCCAACAACGTTCGAATGCGTTCCAAATACAAAGGAATACATTGAACACACCCTAAATAAAAGCTCTTCATGGCATTTTGACAGTATGAGAAAGCTGTTTTTGACATATTTACTAAAAAGTTAAACAAACGATCATTTGTTTTTAAAACTTCTACTTTCTAAAAAGTATTTAATCGAAGTTAAAGGTTTGAAGGTATATTTAATCATCAGGCAACATTTTTTGGCACAAGCCAAAAATCAAATCAACAAGCAAGTTGAAAAAGCAGCTGTTTGATATGAGAACAAACAGTTTCAAATGGCTCATTCGAAATGATCTTCCAATTTCAGCGATTTTTATTCTGTGATTAATGTTGAAAAGAATGCAAGTACTATTGCACATTCAATGTTGTTAAATAAACTGTAATGCCCCTTAAAGTCTTAAACATGGGTTCGAGGAGGACTGACCGTCTGAACGGCATTTAACTGAATGTTGTATGGTGTAATCGTCTTATGGAAATATTATTTGTTTTAGCCTGTTAATAATTTCTGGTATAATACATAGGCGAGAATATTTTAATGAATTTTTTTAAAACTGGTATTAAGTCTGTTTTGGGATCTGCAGATAATGATCAAGCCCCAACTGCTCCAGAAACAGTGGAAAAACTTGTGGATCGGTTATTACATTCAGTTTTATTAGATGACAGACGCGATGCATGCAAAGCGTTAAGGGCTCTCTCTAGAGAGTATCGCGTTGAGGTTGGTGCTCAAGGTATGACAGCAATTATTCAAATACTGCGAAATGATTATCAGGATTCTGAAATTGTAAGTTATTCATTGGATACACTTTGTAACGTGGTAACATGTGAAGAGTATGAAAATGAATGTGATAGAAGTCAAATATCTGCAAGCATTGGTGAACAGTTTACAGAAATGTTTATTAAGGTTCCGGAAAATGTTGGTTTAATAATGGATTGTTTAGAAACATACGACTTTAAAGTACGAAGAGGAGCCATCCATCTGTTAACAATGCTTATATCAAATAGAACACGCGATTTACAAAACATAATCTTAGTCAATCCTTTAGGAATTTCAAAGTTAATGGATTTGCTTAAGGACAGTCGCGAAGCAATAAGGAATGATGCACTTTTACTTTTGATTCAACTAACTAACAGTAACACTAATATTCAGAAAATTGTTACATTTGAAAATGCGTATGATAAAATATTTCAAATAATTCATGATGAGGGACGTTCAGATGGTGGTATTATAGTAGAAGATTGTCTAATACTTCTTTTAAATTTACTTAAAAATAATTCCAGCAATCAACAATTTTTTAAAGAAGGTTCATACATTCAAAAACTAGCAGAAATGTTTGTTTTTTCATTAACAGCAGATAGTTGGACTCCCCAAAAAGTTTCAAATGTTCACTGCATGCTTCAAGTTGTAAGAACTTTGGTAAGTCCCAATAATCAGCAAATAATGATTTGTGCATGCCAAAATGTAATGCGACAATCCAAATTGTTGAACTCGCTTTGTATAATCCTGATGAGTAGTGGTATACCAGCAGATATTTTAACTGAAACAATCAATACTATTGGAGAGGTAATTAGAGCTAATATTGAAAATCAAAACGATTTTGATATGGTTGTGGCACCTAGTATGCCGCCACGTCCTGCTTTGGTAGTCTTATTAATGACAATGATAAATGAAAAACAGCTTTTATCATTGCGTTGTGCTGTTCTTTATTGTGTGCAATGCTATTTATATCGAAATGATTATGGAAAGAAAACTGTAATTCAAACGTTATTACCGTCATCAACACTCGACAATCTCAGACTTTCCACAGGTCAACTCTTATGTACTGGACTATTTTCTTCTAATGCTTTAGCGAATTGGTTCTCTGCTGTTGCGTTGATGCATACATTAGTTGATAATATTAAACAGAAAGAAGAATTATTAAGAGTTCTGTTAGCCTCACCAAATGGATCTAAGCCAATGACTTTATTAGATCAGTGCACTACATTGCTTCAACAAGAAGGTTGCAAATTACAGAGTAAACTAGGTATTATTATGCTACTAAGTACTTGGCTAGCCTATTGCCCTGTTGCGGTCAAAGCATTTATAAGTAGCGAAGGTACTATGGCTTTTATAATTGCACAAATAAGCGCTAATGAACATGGTGAAGAAGAGTATTTAGTGCAAGGCAGTTGTGCATTCTTAATGGGTCTCTGCATCCAATTCAATGACAATACCATTCCATCTCAAACGAGTAAAGATATCTGCCAGTTAATTGGTAAACGCATTGGTCAGGAAACATTTTGCTGCAAAATAACTGAAGTATCACATCACAAAGCTTATGTTAAAGCATGCAAAGAAATGTATATACGTGTTAAAAGTTCATCTGACGTGTTTTTAGATTATGAATATTGTAAATTGTACAAGTCTTTAGAAACTCAAATAATTAAATTAATTAATAATATAGATTTGAACACCGAAGAATTATCGGAACTTTCATTAACTACGGATTCTATTTTACTTGTGACTCAATATAAAAATATTATCAGAGGCCTAGGCAATGAAATTGATTCCTTAAAAGAAAATGTAAAACTTCTTGAAGTAAAAAATACAGAACTGGAAAATGAACTTCTTAAATTGAAAGAAAAAAATGTGCATTTATCGGATTATAATACGTTGTTAAAAGCACAAGTTTTATCAACGCAACATGTTCAATCAGTACAGGGTAACAATTTAATGCACTTAAATGAAGATCAGAATAATTCGGATTCTGTCGGTGATGCTAATGATAAAAATACTAAAGAAATATTACTTAATCGTTTAGCGGATGAGACACTTCGTGCAAAAATTGCAAATGATGAATTAGTGAAACTACGAACAGATCAAGAAAATTTATTTATGCTCTTATTAGATCAAGATAATAAGATAGCAATGTATAAACGACAAATATACGAAGCTGGTTTAAGTATATTAGAAGATTCTGGAACAGATGATTTGAGAAACGAGTAATGTTGTAATTCAGTTTTAACTACCAATGTTAACACATCTAAACAATGTATTTTTTATAAATATAAAAACAGTATATGAAAACTTAAAACAGTTTCAGTGGGATTAAACGGCTAATAAAAGAAAAAAAAATGACTAATAGTTTTTATCAATATTTTTTCTTCCCTTAATATCTGACGTTCAATAAAGTTTTACAAATAAAAAATACTGGATTTTTCGAAAAATTGAGGCAGTTCCATTTAATTTACTAAAAGCAATAATAGTATATTTTAAATTGAAATTTAGTGCGAATCAAGATAAATGTGTAGAAAAGGTTTTCGTTGTCTCATTGATCTGAAAATGGGTTAAGATTAAATTAAGAATGATTGAAGCAAACTTGGACGAGTTTTTCTTTTATGTATATTTAGATTATTCAATTTTATATTATCTGCTTTTACTTAAAACTTTCTTTTAATATACATACAGACAAGGCTATGCCAAAACATTGCTAGAGAAAATAGTAAGTGAAAAAGTAATTGAAACAAATATTAATTATTTTACCTCTGTTAAAAAATTATGGGAAAGTGTCATCTATGCAATCAAACATATAAACAGTCGCACTTATGACAAAATAGTTGTTATTATCAGCAAGACGAAATAGATTTTTGGTACACTTTTTTTTGTAGTATTCTTTGTTGTTGCACAATTAATAAATTGCTTTATTTGCAAGAATTTTCTTAAAACCAATCTGAAAAAAAAACTCGTCTTAAGAAATATATGAAAAATTTCTCGTCTATTTATTTGAGAAAGTTTAGTTAATACACACAATTTTCGATCTCTCAAAAAAGAGTATTAACACTATAAAACCTAAGTTTTTGAACTTAAACTCGTTATTGTTAGAAATATCTAAAAGGAAATCAGGATGCTGATTTAGGTTCAATAGTATCAAATTAACCTAACACTATTAAA